ACTTGTGTTAGTAGTTTTTATAAATTACAAAAGGGTGATCTTAATACTATATTATATGTACTTAGTTAGTTATGTTTTGTAGTACTAATTCTTAATTAACATGAAACAAAAACACACAAGTCGTGGTTCAAAGGTATCTCTCTCGTCTCTCGTGTCTCGTTGCCTCCCGTCTCTTCCCTTTTTTTCATACACTTTTGTTCACTCTTTGCCCTAACACATTTATTGATTTATACATACATACAATTAATAAAACACTGCACACATATCAACACACCTACACATATACACACGCGTCTAGTTATGTCTGAATTCAAAAAGCAATGATCAGATTTAGATCCGATCTTTCTGTTCAACCATATATGCGCACCACATCCAAGTACATACATACTACATTAACCTATGGTAGAATTGAGAACTTGTTTACATATGAGCTTATTTTTACGGGTATATATCTATATATATATATATATATATATATATTTACATAGGCTCTACTACTATATCTCTATTTTACTAATTATTATTGTTCCAATGTATCCTAATATACACTATAAATTAAACTTCTTCGTTGAACAAATTATATTAGTTGTTTTTTTGTTTGTTTGTCAACATACATATTAAGTATTTCATCATAAAGTCAACTATATACTGATATAGGAGAAGACATTTGTTATTATATTTTTTTGGTCAACTATATGCTGATACAAGAGAAGACATTAGAGATAATTTTAATACAGTTTGACTGTTTTAATGGAAACATTCAAATTACTTGTCAGCTATTTTATAATCAAATTTAAAAAACCACTTTATATATATTTTATTTGTATTACTAATATATCAAACATCAAATAATTACATATGACAAGACGGTGAAACATGTAACAAAGATGACGTACGTTGTCATGAGCTGAAAGACAATTTTGCGTGTAGGTAGAAACCTAAACTTCATCCAACAAATTAAGTTGGTATCTTTAAATAAAAAATATGAAATATGAAGAAAACCAAATGAAGTATCTAAATATGGCCTTGTGGGCCGACAAAAAAAAAAAAATATGGCCTTGTGGAAAAATACCTCGTGAGAAAAATTATATTAAAAAAAAAAAAAAAAAAAGAAGAGAAAATGGATTTAGGGTTTTAGGTGAAATATAAATATTTCATATGCTTACTGACAGAAGCAAGCCCTCATGCTCTTCGACACACCCACTCTCTCTATTTACTTCCATCCATCAATCTCAATCTATTTTTATTTTTCTTTTGACTTTTTTTTTTTTTTTTTTTAACTTTTGCTTGCTCTATATTCTTTCCAAAGTTTTTTGATCAATATATATATTGACTAAGGCCAAATAATTTTGCTTTTGCGCAAATATTCTGGTTAGTTCTCCATATTAATTAATTACGTTGAATATCTATGCTACAACCTTCTGACCATTACTTGATACAAAGAAGTTGAGATATGCGACCTTTAATATATTGGTAAGTATAAGATACTCGGTATAAGAATTAAGAGATATGACTAATGACTGGAATAAGACTAAATATTTTGAAGGACGATATGACCTAATAGGAAAAAATAATGTTTTAATAAGAGGAACTCCACAAGAATTGTATAAAAGGAGAAGAGACAACACTCTGGTTTTCGGGTGTTCGGTTCGTGAAACCGACACGTGAGGTTGATTTAGGTAACATTTGTCGTTAACATGTGAATCCAACATCTTAATTTTAATCAAATAAGAATAGCAAATAATGGTATCTTTGTTTTTCTTTCATAGTGATCTAAGTAATCAATTTTGACTGCTTAACCAATCACAAGTCAAATCTTGAGTAGTTGGCTTGGCTTGGCTCCAGATTTCAAGTGTTTGCTGCCTTGCTGCCATCTGCTCAGGCTTATATATTACTGTATAGCCACTTTAATCATCTTTCTTTCTTTTACTAGTTAAATGTTTTGGTTAAAACTATTTATGAATCACAATGGTTTTGTTACTTTCTGCCAAGTATTATTATTGCAAGCTGCTGTGTCAATGATGTTTTCAGTGATCAGTGATATCCTTCATAACCTTACAAAACAGAAAGAGAATATATATAATATTATAAACAAAATTAATAAGAAGTCTTATCTTCGAGATTACGAGTATATAATATTAAAGATGATACAATTCCTGCAACTAGTTTATAAATTACATCAAATGTTGAAAAGTTGAAATAAATTACACAAACTAATTTAATGAATTATGGATTCTGAACGACTTTATATAATACATTATGAACTAGTGAGAAGATGAGTTCTTCAGTGGCGCTGTGGCGTGTGGAATTCCCAACCATCGTAGCATCCAAGCTCACACCCATCGAAGCACAATGTGAGCCACGGCCTCTGCCCACAAATCGTAGCTGTGACCGTCTCTTTTCGACCAGCAATTCGTGTTTGTCCCAAACCGAGCCAATGCAGACCCGCAAAAGACGGCTTGCTCAGCCATCTCAGTGCTCCAGTCGTTAAGCTCACACAGTTATGGATATTGAGCTTCCTCAACTGTTTGCTTCCTCCCTCTACTTGTCTTTCCCTTGTAGCCAGCGACTCTATCGAAGAATCTGTTACGTAAAAGCAACTCCTGATACTTAGCTCTGTTAAAGCCTTGCAATAACGCGTGATTGTGTGGATGGCTCTGTCTGACATTCCTGGCATGTGACCAAGATCAAGTGTTGATAATGTTTTGCTGATTGTTCCTTCATTGATCAACAGATGGGATATTCCCCTATCACTGACTCTCTTACAGCCGCGGAGAGACAGTTGCGTGATAGGAACATCTGACTTACCAAGTGCAAGCATGCCACTATCGGTTACATCAGCTCCTGCGAGATTCAGAGAAGTTAACCTTCTAAGGACTGAAACAGAGTTGAGGCAAGAATCTGATATACTTTTGCAGCTGCCCAAGTCGAGCACCTCAAGATTGCCACACAACCCCAGTTTCTTCACAGCTTCGCTGGTTATGAGAGGACAAGTCGAGAGTCTGACCTCTTGAAGAAAACAAGAAGACCCTGTGACATCATGGAATGCCAAATCAGACAAGAGGAAGGCACCTCGTACTTCAAACTTTTTCAAGTTCCGACATGAGTGCAGGAGCGATGCAAAACCAGCGTCGCTAACTTTTTGGAACCCACCGAGTCTCACTGACTCTAAACCCTTGCAAGCCTCGGAGAGAAGAAATATACCCATATCGTTTATTCTCTTGAATGATATCTTGCGGTTGTAACAAGTTCGAACCAGAGAGAGGCTTGTGAGTTGCTGACAATAACCCAGAGCTTGAAGCCCAGTGTAAGTCAGGTCACTGTCGGGAAATGGCTCTTTTTCAGGACGGTCTTCAAGGTCCAGTTGGACAAGTTGAGGAAGAGAACCTGTGATAGCTATGATTAGCCTGTCAGATATCAAGTCCAGCACAAGAGACAGGCTTTGCAAAGTAAAAGAAGGTGAAAGAGAAAGCAAGGCACTATAATCAGCCTGAGATAAACAAGTTCCAGTGACTTTGAATCTGTTCATGAGAAGAATTGCTTCGGACTCAAGCAGTGGCTGTAACCTGAGAGCTTTGAGAGTTTCTGGCAAGGAGAATCTAACAGACTGGAAAGCTGTGGCATCTACTAGGATACCTCGGATATTAAGTTGCAGAGACTGCAAGCATCACAAGAATATAAAACCCAAATTCAATTTCACACTTTCTCGCTTCTTCTGACCAATGCCTCAGCAAGCTTTTAACAAATTACCTCCAGATAAGGACACCCGTTAAGCATCTGCGTCAAATTAGACTGGAAAACAGCGGGAGAATCCAGGTCTGACATTTCCAGGGTAAGAACCCTGTAATAAATAATTGAACCAAAAAAAACTCTTAAGTACTCACAAAGTCACAATCACAACTTCAACTCTAGAGCTCTAAACTCAATGCTTCTAATCAAGAAAGAGTGATTGACAAAAGTCATAGCTAACCCCAGATATGTAAAGGCTTGCCTTCAAGGGGAGTGACAGAGGACTCAATTTAATTCAATTCTATCAATGAAGTGATAAATTCAGAAAAAATGAGACTTTTCGTAAATCTTCTCCCTTTTCCAGAAACAAACATGGGCCAAAAGCACGAGAATTCATTGAGGTATCTATTAAAAAGTTCATGGGAAGAAGAAATAGTACCGGAGATTTGGGCAGAGGGTACCGATGGAAGTGAGGACGGTGGAGGATAGAAGAGAACACCTGAGCAAGTGAAGTTCCCGGAGATGTGGGCCGAGAACCCCACGAACAGAATTAGCGTCAAGACGGAGACAATTCAGAGTTAAGCTACTAAGTCCGATGCAACCACGCAGCACGTGATTCAGAGTCTCCTCGTCCGGAGAGAAAACCTAAACAGAATTCGATAAAATTACTCTCTTTCCAGAGAAAATCTCCAAAATCTCAGAGAATCTGAAACTCACAGAGAGATCGAGAGACGTAAGAGAAGGGAGAACGCCGGAGACAACGGCGGAGCGGAGGGTGGTGGAAACACAGGCGACGGAACAGAGATTCTCCAGATCTAAACGCTTCAGTATCTCCTCCGCTAACACAGATCTCGTCACTTCCTCCATGGTTTGATTGTGAATGGAGGAGTTCTCTCTCTTCCTCTTTTCAATTTCAATTTTCCAGAATCTCGCCAATTCTTCTCTTCAATCTTCTGAGCCGTTGACACGAATCAAAAAAGACGAAAGGTATTGTTTGGACGCAAGGATCACTCATATCCTTTTTACCCGACTTGTCCGGGTCAGTTACGATCGGTTTACATCAAACTAGACAACCTGGTATAAACCGGTTCAATTCGAGTTTCGGTTTGGATTCTAATCATGGTTTGATTAAAAGATTAGGTCCATTTTTCTACATTAAACGTATCTAAAACTGTTAGAAAGTATAATGAATCAGTAAAAAAAAGTAAAAAGTAATTTATTATTAAGCTGATGATGATGAATACTGAATACAAATTTTTTTTTTTGTTTGTTTTTGGTTTTCACTGGAGATAAGGAACAAGAAAAAGAAAGAAAGAACAAAGGAAAAAAACGAATTATTACATCAAGTTAACACCAAACTCAGCAAATAGGCGATGCCTGATCCCACCGTAAATCCCAGAACCATTCGGTACAACATTCATCATCGGTTCATCATTCCGGTACATGTAACCGGGATTCTGGAAAACTGAAAAATTCGGCAGCTTATTAAGTCCGGTCATGTAAACCTTAGACATATCAAGTGGTGGAGTAAAGGAAGATAAAGGCATCATCTCCATAGGTGTGATCACAGACGAAGGAGCAGGAAACCTACCTAACCGGTCGGTTCGATAGCTCTGATTTTGAGTCGTTGTTGTTGTACCGGACCGATTCCTTGGACCGGAATTGATTCTACAGCGTGCAGGTGGGGGAGGATGGTTGTGTATCCCATCGTAGGATGTCACAAGTATCTTAAAATTGTCTGCTCCTCTCTCCACATGTTTCTTCACGTTGCAGTCGTTGTTTGTGCATTTGAAGTAACTCCTGCGATTCATAACATATATACCCACACACACAAAAAAACGTATTAATTAAGAAGCATATATATATATATTAAAGCAGCTACGGACAGAACATCAAAACCAAAGTGACTAGTAGAGAGAAATAAAGAAGATGGGTGGGTGGGGGGAAATAACAACCTCGGATTAGGATTTCCTTTGACAACTTTCTGTCCGTATTTTCTCCAGCGAAAGCCATCTTCAGGATTATCTTCATCGCTTTCCATCTGAAGTATGACCCTTTGTGCCTTGTTTGTTCTCGTTGCTCCGATCATGTTTGATGATGCCTCAAACTTCCTGCAAGATATATATAGTTTAGCTTATAAAAGATATATATATGTTGTTTTAAGTATTATTGTTGATAATTATGATCGTTAGCTTTTGTTTGGACCTTCTCTTTGGAGATGAAGGTTCAGCATCATCAAAGTCAGCTTCGTCGTCGTGATCAGCCTCTTCCTCATCATTTTCATCTTCCTCATCATCTTCATCTTCATCTTCATTTCCATCTTCATCATTATCTTCATCTTCATCTTCAGCTTTATCTTCATCATTATCTTCAGCTTCAGCTTCAGCTTCATCTTCATCTTCGAATTCAAAGTCGAAGTCCAACTCATCATCGCTCTCGCTGTCCTTCACGCTCTCAGTGCCCTCATTGGAGATGAAGTTGACATTGGCATCTCCAACGAATTCATGTTCAAAGGAATTAGGGACTAAGGAATCCCCAATTGGCTCAACATGATCAGTTTCATAAGTTGGGAGATAAACGGACTCTTCCGTTGGAACATCATCAAAGACTGCCTCACATTCTGTAAGAAAAATTATGATAAAATTAAAAGATAGAGAAATTATAGAGAAATGGAAGCAAACTTGTGACACAAGCAACTCCGTTACCATCAAGAAGAGGCAGATCAGCATTCACTGGCTGATAAGGGTGATCGTTGTTGAATATCAACGTTGGTGCATTGCCTTCGCCGGAAGTTTCCACCATACCTTGAGGTCCGTAATTGGTGTCTGAAGACGGAGCTGGGATCATCTGGAAATAAGAAGGTTACAAAAGAATATTACAGTTTCGGCTTAAGAATGAGACCAAGATCTCGATGGTTTTAACAATAATTTTATGTATATTATGTATATATATATATATATATATATATATATATATATAAACGAAAATTAAAATGAATTATATGAAATGTAATTAAATATATATATAGCTGGTATCAAAATCCATCCGAGAAAAATACAGTCAATCATAACAAAACAAATCTGTCCGAGACAACCAGATTCATGAACCAAACATTCATTCGTAAGTTGGAGTAAACGCAAATGGGGTATGGAAATTTTCAAAACGTAAACAAAAGGAAATAATAGATTTCGTGTTTACCAATAGATGTATATAAAACCATTTTTTAGTCTATGCTACACGTAAAAGAATTGAAATAACATACGTCGAAATATTTGGTTCAATGACAGATTCGTTTAACTTATATATTTTTGATAAATAAATTCATTTATAACCATATGATTAAACACGAAAGACATTGCTACGTACCTGTGAAGAATCAGTGACCATATTGGGAGATTGCAATAGCGTTGATGGGATAAATCCCGGAGGGATTGCAGAGACAGGAGGAGGAACAGTCGTCGAGCTCCTTAAAGATGCAGCCGAAGGACTTATGTTTTCTGTGTCGAGTGGTGGAGGACTGAACCCTACTCTTGCAGCTAATCTCTGGCCGAGACCAGATCTTTGTTCAGAGGACTGAGCACTATGGTCTCTTGGTAAGTTGGTATGAGGGAACATCTCAGAGATTAGATCCAGACCATCGTCTTCGGCTTGATCAATCATCGCCAATATCGCTCTTGGGCTAGGGCTGAAAGGTGGTGCCCAACACGACGTCGATTCGTTGAAGTTTCCATCAAAATCACTCATTTTTGAAGAAATCCCTAAAAGATGTCAAGAAACCCAATATTGGTGAGAGTGAAAATTTTGTGAGATTCAGAATCAATAATAGTTTGTAAATTGATGAAATAATGATAGATATAAAAAGGAGAAATCCCTAAGATGTCAAGAAACACAATATTAGTGAAAACTTTGTGAGATTTAGAATTAGAAAATGATTTGTAAATTAATGAAATTAATCTTAGATGTAAAAAGGAGAAACCCTTTTTTTTTTTTTTTGGTTCTTGAGAGGGAGGAAGCTAGCTAGCCGGAAACGAAGAAGAAGAAGAAGAATACACAATGGGGTGTTGCATATGATGATGATGATGGTGTTCTTATATTCTAAATTTCGTTGCCTTTTTATTATGGTAACACTTTTAAATGGTCAAACTTTCGTCATCCAAGTGTCAATAATCCCTAATGTGTTTTTAATTTTCTTCTTTCTCCTCCTTTTTTTTTTTGTTTTTTTTTGTAGAGATGCATGATGAGATTATCATATGCTATATACATATATATATATATATATATATATGTATAATAGAATAGAATACTAGATTTAATTGTAAAACACTAATTTCTAATGTAGATGGCCAATTTAAATCCTATTAAAATAACCATTTTATTATTACTTATCGATTTTTAAGTTTCCTAAAAATTATCGATGTATTTGAATTACAACAAATTCAATGAATGTTATTTTATATAACGGAGTTAAAGTCGACTGAATATCACCGTGATCTTGTATTTTTTGAAAATTAACATAAACATATGTTTGCATCCATAACATCATTAATGTAATGTTGTTAATAATGGATGTAAACTAGATTAAATATTAATGTGATTTTATTTATAGTATACCGAACATTATTTATGTAATGTTGGTAATATAATAATGAATCTAAACTGGACTGAATATTACCGTGATTTTATATTTAGTAAATTAGAATGAACAAAAATCTAAATTATGAAGATTGATGTTTTTAGTCAAAAAATTAATTATCATTTACTTTTTTGTTGTGCAAAATAATTATCATTTACTTATATTATAAGAATAGTGATTTAAATCCATCCAAACTCTATTACTCTGGTCAATTTTTATGTAGAATATTAAAAGAAATACTAAAATTGTATAGGATAATAAGATCTTTACATGAATTTAGTATGGCATTATATTGTAAACCAAAACAAATAGATTCGGTTTCTAAACACTTGAATCTTTAGAGGGTAATACAACAAATATGGAAGTAACATAAAGAAAACCCCAAGCGTTGACTAAGGAATATGGTAATTGCATGCATATTAAAAGAAATATATTTTTCTATATATAGTCCTACCATGCATTTCCCATCCAGTAGATAAGTAAGGATTTAGGAATATATCAATTTAGGAATATATCAATTTAGGAATATATCGATTTAGGTATCCTTGAAACCAACTTATTTTTATGCATGAGGCTTCCTCAATAACGGGCTTATAATCTCGGCCTATAACAGCCCGTTTAGTATTATCATTTTTTAGTTTATAAAAAAGGTCACAAAGTCCAATCAGTTCTTGAAAGTGAATGTCAAGGTTTATAATTCAACCAATGCAATGCAACAAAGCTGGGATAATGGATTATAGAAAAGTAACGTTTGAAGGAGATGGCCAAGAGATGCAAAAGATGCTCAATCAATGGTGAAAGTTTTGAACTTTGGGATTTACAACTGGGTACGAGATATACAACTATGGAAGTCCAGATTTGATGACTTAAATCGACCACGATGCCTGCATGACTGACTATAACAAGATAAATGTAAAAGCTGAGACTCATTTTTTGGTATTATTTATCAACTAGTGTGACACGAAAAACGAAATAAGATATGAAGAAAATTCTTATAAATGAGCTAACTCTAACAAAATATTCTGAAAATAAAAACTTACAACAGTATACAACGAGGGAATTTATCTGACCGTGTTTGACAAGTTAACCAAAGACAAAACCCTCCAAGCCAAATCAACAGCTACAATAACTCTTCAGTGTCTACTTCATCTTCCCAATGATTCATACCGTCTTTCTCAAGCTTCCTCGGTTATATACACTGGACTGGACATCCAAAATTTGGAACAAGTAACAAATTAAGCATTCTCAGTTCTCTTTTAAGGCTCCTTATCTCGGGACTCTTCTACCAACGGAGTTTCCTTGAGCGAAAACTCATCGAGACTTTCGTCTTCTTCTGTGTCAGCCTTAAGCTCTTTGAACATTGCCATCACTTGAATCATTGTTGGCCGCTTAAACGGTCGATCATCCAAGCATTGAGACGCAATCTTCAAGTAATGAAATAGCTCAGCATCACCTGATTTTTCGGTTACAAGCTCCGGGTCAAGAATCTCAGTTCCACTTTTCTCTCTATATAGCTGTTTTGCCCACCCGACCAGGTTATTGTCTTCTCCAAACTCCCCTGGATCAATGGGTTTCTTACCAGAGAGAAGCTCAAGAAGTATAACTCCGTAGCTGTAAACATCCCCTTTAGCTGTACACCGGAAACTCTGGTAATATTCTGGTGGAACGTATCCTGGTGTACCCGCGAGCGTGCTCACGCTCAGATGCGTGTCTAGAGCGCTGACCAGCCTCGCCATTCCAAAATCCGAGACACGTGCTTCAAAATCTTCATCTAGAAGAACATTGCTCGATTTCATGTCTCTGTGGATTATGTGAGGAATGCAGCTATGGTGCAGAAACGCTAGCCCTCTTGCAGCTCCAATCGCAATCTTCTTCCTTGCTGTCCAGTTTAGAAATATTCCACCTTTCTTCGATGATTTCTCGTGAAGAACGGTTTCTAAGCTTCCCCATTTCATGTATTCATAAACAAGAAGCCTCTCTTCACCAACTTTGCAATATCCCAAAAGCGGAACAAGGTTTCTGTGCTTGATTTTTCCAATTGTTTCCATCTCAGCCATGAACTCTCTATCGCCTTGTCCTGTGATCCGAATCAACTTCTTGATTGCTACAACAGATCCGTCTCTGAGTTGAGCCTTGTAGACTTCTCCAAACCCACCAGATCCGACCATAGTCTCTGCGCTAAACCCGTTTGTAGCTTCAAGAAGATGCGCGAACGTGAGTTTTCTCAAGGGTTTTTCGAACGTAGCAACATTGATGCTAAGCGGTTCAGGAACGCTAGAGAGCTTCCAGCTGCAACTTCCCGAAGTTGGAAGGCTCTCAATGTATTTCTCCCTCTTCAGTTCCTTCTTCTGAACTTTCCTCACCCTGTAAAGCGCCATAAATAGCATCACAAGGCACATGAAAGAAAATGCGATTCCAGCAATCACAGCGGTTGCAAGAGTTTGCTTCTTGGCATGGACACTGGAGGTAATGGGCCGCCTAGGAGCTGAACCGCACGGGCGCAAAGGGACACCACATAGGCCAGAGTTGTTTGCGTATCTTGAGACAGGGAATGTTGTAAGCTGACCTCCAAATGGGATTGGACCAGTGAGGTTGTTGTTAGAGACATCGAGATCACTGAGGAAAGAAAGCGATCCCAGCGATCCGGGTAAGTAGCCTTGAAGATCGTTGTGAGATAGATCGAGAACACCAATGGCTTTCAGTCCTCCAAGACTGTCAGGGATGTTTCCAGTTATCCGATTATGTCCCAGATTCAAGACCTGGAGATAGCCCATGTTACCATAACCAGGAGGTATTAAACCCGAAACCGCATTGTACGAGATGTCGAAGTAGATCATGCTTCCATTTGCAGAGAATGTGTACATTGTCATGCCTGAGTATATCCGTGTCGCAGGACACGAATGAACCATTGGAAACCGCTCTAATCGTTCTGCGCGAATGCCTTCAAATTCTACTAGTCCCCCTGCACCTCTGCAGTCTGTTCCGCCTTCGTTCCTCACAAACGCAAACTGTTTACCTGAAACACTCCCGGGCATTACTAACCCCGCTTGGCTAGCTAGCTCACCAGGGAGGTCCCCGGTTAGATTGTTGCTGTTCAGATCGAGCCAAATCAAGCTCTTGCAGTTCCCGAGCTGGCGTGGAACGTTTCCGGACAAAGAATTGTTCCCCAGCTGCAGGATTGCTAACTTGGAAAGATTACCGATTCCAGTAGGGATTTTCCCGGTCAGACGGTTACTTGAAAGAGAGATCCAGATCATGTTGGTGCATCTTGAGATCGACTGAGGGATAGAACCGGTTAAGAGATTGTTGTTGAGGATGATAGTTTCCAATTTCCCTCCTTTAACACAAACACCTTCTGGGATACTTCCAGTGAGATTGTTCGCCCACATAACCAGATCCGACAGATTCGGCAACATCCATACATCTTTTGGAATCGGACCAGTAAGCTCATTGAAGCTGAGATCAATTGTCTTCAAGCTCTTACATTTACCAAGCTCCACAGGAACTGTTCCTGAGAGGTAATTGTTGGCTATGAGAAGCTTTTCAAGAACCGGCGAGCTTTGCTGAGAGCATAAACCAGACGGTACATTTCCGGTGAAACCATTTGAGCTTAAATCAAGAACACGAAGGTTTGTACAGTTGGTGAGTGAAATCGGAACAGAGCCTGAGATGTTGTTGAAAGCAACGTATAGATAAGTGATTCTGGTGATTTTACTCACGACGGTGCTTAAGAAATCGCCGGAGAGGTAGTTGTTTCCGATATTAAGGTTCTGTAACCAGACGCAGGCGGTGAACTGTGAAGGGAGCTCGCCGGAGAGAGCGTTTCCAGAGAGATCAAGAGTCTCTAATGTTTTGCAGAGTAGAGAAAGCTCCGGTGGGATTTCGCCGGAGAAACGGTTGTGAGCTAGAGATAGCTGTTTTAGATTCTGGAAACTTCCCCAATATTCTCCGCCGGGGATTTTTCCGGCGAGATTGTTCCGAGAGATGTTCAACGTCTCGAGGAATCTGCAGTTCGGTAGAGAAATCGGGAATTTAACGCCGGAGATATTGTTCTGTGATAGACTGAAGAAGCTGAGATTCCCACACATCCCGAAACTTAAATCGGAGAAATCGCCGGAGAAATTGTTATGAGTGAGATCAAGATACTTCAACGACGCCGGGAACTCTGAGATAAAACTCTCCGGGATCTTCTCCGATAAGATATTGTAAGAGAAATCAACAGTCGTCAAGCTCTTCAACGACGACGGAGCAAAACCTAATTTCCCGACGAGCTTGTTGTTTGAGAAATTCACAGAAACCAGATTCGAACATTTTGAGAAAACGTAATCCACCAATGAGTAGTCTGAGATCAAGTTCGAAGACAAATCCAGAACTTGAAGATAACAATAAGAACCAGACGACGAATCTCCTCCAGAGGAAGAGGAGAAATAGTTTCCTTGTAGGTAAAGATTCTGGAGATTAGGCAACGCCGTGAGGTTAGCTAGGTTTAGTGTTCCGGTGACTCCACCGTTTCGGAGATCTAGTCCGACGATTCGACCGTCGTCAGAGCAGGAAACGCCTCGCCAAGAACATGAACCACGACCCGACTCGTATATCCAGTTACCAAGAACGTTATTGGGATCAGATTTCACAGAGAATTGCTTGAAAGCCATTAGAAGAGCAGTTTCGTCGAAGTCGGAGTTGATTAGTCTTTTTCCATGAATGCCCAACGCCGTAAAGAAACAGAGGATCAACACAAACAGCCATTTTTGCTTCATTGGCACACCAAGTGTTCGATTAAATCTCCACTGTGCTCAGCTCCTCTGCAAAAAAAAAAGAATAAGCTTTGAGAATAGTAACAAAAAGAAACAATCTTTTTCAATGAAAAAGTCTAGCTAAATATGGAACCTTGTTCAAGAAGAAGATGACCAAGTTTGACTGAAGAAGACAGAGACAGAGTTCCGCTGATGAAGAAGACAGCATAGATCGTACTTTTAGATACGGTTTCTGCTCAAGTACGATGTTGCAGAACTGGTCGGAATTATATATAAAAAAAAAAAAGAACAAACTTCAGATTTTTTCTTGTCTTTCCAAAACCAGATGGTTTAAGATTCCGTAGCAGTACACAGAGAGAAGTGCACGAACATCACCCAGAAAAAAAAAGATATTATGATTTATGAGGGAAGACAAAAAAAAAAAAAACAAAGGTGGTTTTTTCCCCGGAAGAAAAGAAAAAAGATCTTCCTTTAATCTTTGCGTAATTGAGGCGTTAATTATGGTTTCTTAATAGTCTCTCTGTTTGGAAAGAAAAAAATATCAAAGGTCCAATTTGTAAAGCGAATTGCTATTTCTTTTATTTATTTTTATAATTTTCTCTTTGGTGGGGTAATTTGCAAAAGCAATAGAGAACCAAAAAAATAATTAAAAAAGGCAAGAAAAAAGGAAAAGTAGATAAATGAAGACATATATATTAAATAGAAATCCTACAGAAAAGAAGAGAAAACATAATCATGATACTAAAGATTAATTTCCTCTTTATAATATATTTCTAATTATCAATCTTGTATTAATTCTAATTTACAAAATATATATATATATATATATATATATATATATATATATATATATATGTTCACTCACTCAAAAGTGAGACCCTCTCAGTGTACACATATTCTACTAAGAATGAGTTGTCATCAAATCAAACTAAATTAGTTTATACCAGACAAAAATGTGAGATACTTAGGGATAAATCACTCTTATTAGTTATCTGTAAATATGGTACAACCAACAGTTCTCTTTTGCCCGTTGGTGATAAATCTCAAATTGGACTTTCCAAACACTTGGATTCGATTCATTAACGTTCGAAATAAACAATTATCTCTGCCTTTATCTAACTTTTTTTGGGGGGTTTAAGATGAATTAAACGGCACGTATAGGTATAGCCTTATGTAGGTCTCTCTCGTTCCCATGTAAAAATAGTAACCCCTCCTCCTAAGTCCTAACCTAATACTATAAAAATATGATTTAAGTTTTGACGATAATAACGATAAAGCTCTACCTTTTCTCCTTAGTTCTCTCGTATGTGTATGTTTCTACGCATTTGTGCAACTTTCTAACCCTACACGGCACAAAGCACTAGCTTATTTAAAGAATGCTTCAAATGTTTTTCTAAATTGTCCTTTGGTCCTAGTTTCTTTTATGTTTATTAGTTTTGTGTCCCTGATTTTTGCATTTGTTTATGTAGTTGCCGGTTCACTTTTTGCCACTTTAGCCTTTTATCCAATGTCTTTACCTAACCCCATGTATCTACATTAGATATTTGAGTACTCAACTAGATAGAACAAGTTTAATAAGTGTTTGCCAGACCTAATTCAAGGTCTATGTTATAAATGAAAATAAAACACTTGCCCAAATTTTTATTCTAAATGCCAAAAAAGTCTATAATTTGATGAATACAAATTTTAAAATACATACATAAGAAAATACAATACTCCATGATATTTATAGGTAAAATAAACTATAGAGTATAGATTACAGAATAAAACAAACAACCAAACTTCTTGAAATGTTAAAGAACATAGTTTATACACATAGAAAACAGAGAGAGAAAGAAAATACTAGAGTGTGATATGAAAATGATATAGCTTGTGTGATATCCCAATGTAAATGACAAGATTGAGTGAGGAAAAAGACAAAAGGGGACCTAGGAAATGAAATTAATAATAAAAGGGTAGATAATAAGAGAAATAAAATAAGAAGGGGTTCTTTTATTAAAAGCCGGAAACATGTTTCGTCGCGCGTGGGCCGTAGAGTTGGGCCGTGTACCAATATATTTGTCAGTATTCTTCTCTCTCTCTCTCTCTCTCATCCGCACGAGCGCATATTTTATTTTGTGACCTCTTTTTTCTTTCTACTCTAAAAGATTCTTTTCTCCCAACGTGCCCACTCATTTTCTATATTTATGTACCTATTAGTGTGTGATTATTCAATTATTCAATGACTACGATATTTAAGTGTATAGTGTTTTTTGAAAGAAGAAAAAATTGCACTCTCCTGATTATTTTTATATCAAGTAAAAAATGTGAGACTTATTAAGAAAAATATTAAGTTTTTATTAATTTATAATTATTTGTTGGTAGAAGAGAAAATATAAATCATTCGATAACATGATAATATGTGAAAAAGTAAAATACCATTTTAGGTTTTTTGATTTTTCTTTTCAAAACATCAATTTATAAGAAACAGATGAAAATACTGTGTAATTAGTTATGTGTGTGTGTGTAATGAAAGGTGGATGATGACTCCATGAAAACGACTATTTTTCTAATGATGACGCTTATCCTAATCAATCCAATATTATTATTATTCGTCTTATTTGTCTAAATTACAATCACCTTTTTTGTATGTGTATATATTTATGTATTTTTCTTTTTAATTAGTATATGATGACTTGTGAAAGAAGAAATATAAAAAAAAGGCGGAAAAAGACATTTGAATGGTCTCCAACATATCATTATTAACATCAGGTAAAGGAAATTGACAAATACAGTATGTAGTTCATCTATTTAGTTACATGATCTCTTCAAAATACAAAGTTTACATATTAATCGGGAGATCAAACATTTGAATATTAAAATTGTTTTTTTTTTCTTCTAGCTAGTTTTGTTATAGCTGTTTTTAATTAGATCACATATGGAAAAATGATTATGTTTATACATTTTGTTTGACATTAAGGACCGACCTAATCATGAAGAAAAAGCTTAGCAATTTTTTAAAAAAATTTCGTCGCACCCACTTAAACCAATACATGACCAACAAAATCCAATCACATTCCAATCAATTTAGTCACAACTGTTTACAAATTTTTCTCCTTTTATCTTTTTTTTTTTTGTTTTCTTAACAATGTAACTGCCAAAAAAAGAAAAGCTCTTTTCAGTGCAAAATCATAGGGTCCATTATCAGTCATTACGCTATCTTTGTGGATCTTGTTCTTCTGTTTATGATTTACTCATCAAGATTAGCAACATTTTAAATCCCAACTTATAATCTAACAGTTGTACATCACATTCATGCAAATGATAAGTAAATTTAAATTAATGTAACGTGAATAATTGCGATAGTAGTAACCAGAATTTTAGAGATTTACTGATTTGATATCTTCTGATGGATTAATCCATATGATATGAGTAGTGTGTTTTACTTTGGTGTGAGACGAATGATTTTCAAAACTAAGAAAGAGGTGTGTTACTATTAATATTATTTTTACGATCATGTTTTCCTCGTTATAATAATAATCAATTGGACCTCAAAAATTAAGAAAAGAAAAAGCTATACCAAAATGGGCACAAACCCAATCAATGCCCATTTGCACCAACCTCTTTGTCTTTTCTCCGGTCGTTGATCGATCTCCTCCGACTCATTTCATCTCTGCGTGAAAAAACAACCAACCAAAGGTTAACAACTTTGGCTTTGGTTAACTTTGAGTAAAAACAGATTTTTTTTTCTTTTTTCTGTTACCTGAGAAAAGTCCAAATAGAGTCATAGTGAAGAAGGCCAAGCAGTTTCCTTCTTTTCCCTTTGTGAATTACTTCACCTCGTTTTACGACAGGTAATTGCTTCACTCCTCTTGCCTCCATCAACTCTTTGGCTACTCCAACCGTCGCGTCTGGATAACAAGTTAGCAGACCGCGTTCTTGGCCTCGGTAGATTATATTCTTAGTACACACTGAAGAAACCTGGCATGTATTCTCCTGCCAAGAGACATAGACTTATTTTCAAGTCCACTGTAATTTAAAGAGCAGAGTTATGAGTAGTACGAGACTGAGGGGGTTTGTTTTGTTTCACTTCTTACATCTAAGATTGTTGAGACGTTGTTGGACAAGTATCTTCTGATGTCGCCGTGTGTTAGGATCCCGGCTAGAAAATCATCTTCATCGACCACCATAAGGCAGTTTTGGTGGCTGTCTTTAAGGATATTTCTTGCTTCCCTTAAAGTCATTCCTGGAGAAACCTTCACGTAGTTCTTTGACATAACCCGCAAAACCTTTAAATCCTCCAGAATAGTTTCCTCATCCAAAAAGGATTTATGGTCAGGGCTCTCTATGACGGTGAGCTCAAGGGAGTCAACATTATCCGTGTGTCTCCATACACCTTCCGTTTTACGCTCTAAAGGTGAAACAGAAGAGTATCCTCTTCCAGTGTTGCGACCTTCAGATGACTCACTCTCTTTGCCTTGGTTTGCGACAGAGGGAACCCATATAGCTAAACCAACTGCTCCCTGTTAGTAGAAATCGACAGAGAGATCAGATCAAGAACAACTTGATCAAAATATGAACCAGAATGCAGCATGTTAAGTGAAAAAAGAATATTCTTGTCTACATACAAACAAGCTCTGGACCTCTAGTTAATAACATCCTGTTACAGCGACATCTTAAGTGGTACATTTCATAGTTTTGCCACGGTTTTACTGCTTGATTAGTTAAACGAGAAAAATCAGAACTATCTTTATGAATCCCGCCCTTCTTAAGCAAATTTACACGACATGCACCATTGAAACTAAGCGGGAAAGATAATATTTACCATGAGGGGAAGCAAAATTCTATAATCTTTTGTTAGCTCGAACAGCAGTAACACTGATGTTAACGGAACAGAACACATGGAAGCTAGTGTAGCTGCCATTCCAACCTGCATCACATAAAACGACAGCATCTTAACAACTGAGATTTCATGACATCCAAATTGAAGAGTAACAAAATTTATTTTAAAAAACTGCACTGAAGCAAGGCCTGCGACAAAGGAAATACAATACCAGAGCGTAAGCTTGTGGTTGAGCAACAGCAGCATTACCAGGAATAGCTCTGTTAATAATCTCAGCAGCCGAACCCCCAAACACAGCACCAACAGCAGCACCAATCATCAAACTTGGTGCATATAGACCACCTACAAGCCCAGAGCCTTTGCAAAGAGCTGTAGCCACAACTTTGGCTGCGGCTAACTGAGCTAATAACCAAATTCCAGGAGCTGAAGCACTCTTTCCAGTATGCAGGATTTCCTCAACATTTGTAAACCCCCAATACAAAATTCCAGGGTACTTGAGAGCAATAATTCCAGCTCCTAAACCACCTAGTGCAGGGCACACAATAGCAGGAAGACCAAATTTTTCTTTGATGAAGTCGAATGACTTGGTAAACCAGGTGACGAGACGAGAAAAAACAACGCTGACAGCACCGCAAAGCATGCCTAATATCAGGTACAGAGGGAGCTCTGGAGACAATTGAAAACAGATATGTAAATCTATACACAAATACTCGATGAAGCAAATAAATATTGACCTTCATTATTTTATAATTACCACGATTCTTTATGATATATCACATTATACCATAATCATCAGGACACTAAATCAGAATCTTACACAAAAATAATACCATAATACTAACTGGAAGGTTTGCAATACGGATTAACAATGAAAAAACATACCTGCAGCGGACTTCAGGTCGTATGAGGGAACTGTGAAAGCTGATTGAGTTCCAAGCAGTGCATTTGACACAGTCGAAGATATAACAGAGGCCAATATTATCATTGCAGTGGTAAATGGAGGCGAGTTCTCGGCACGTAGAGGTCTTAAAACGGTCTCAATAGCAAAGAAACAACCTGCCACTGCTGCATTGAAACCTGTAACACGAATAAAGATAGAATTAAATCAGATTTTTTACGACAAACAAGCGAATTGAGTCCCTACCTGGGGAAAACAAGGAAACAAAGAGCCTCTCTTAGTGCTCTTATCTTTAGCTAGAAAAACCAGTGCCCATGAATCATACTTTAAATAGCCATAAATATACTAGTATTCAGTAATTACTCCCAGCAAGATGTTTTTTCTAGTAGTAGAACCTAAGATCAATTGGCACATTTGTAGGCTATATAATACATACCTATTATGGGACCAGATAAGTGAGCGAAAAAATGAGGGGCCATAAAGATTGCAATAAGCCAAAATGATACAAGGAACCTAGAATAGACATTTATTAACGAAATTCACCAGGTTAAAGCTAATGTTAACTAGTGCTAATATACTTGAGTGCAGGAAGAAACTATGTTGCTGTTCCATGCCTCGGCAATCCATATTACATCAATATCAATTCAGAAGGTGCATAAGCTGTTTTAAAAAAGGTAGGGCGTAGATTATACCAGATGCAATCCCAGAAGCCGCACCAGCTGCAGTGAGAGCTATTCTCCTTTCTCTGTTGTTTTCCATCATGAGAGCAAAACCATTGGCACAAGACTTTCCAATGTCGACGCTAGGTCCCTCAGGACCCAGTGAACATCCTGTACCAAGGGTCACAGCAGCTTGGATGGCCTTTATCACGGGATAAATACCAGCAAGAAAATCTAGTCCTTGTCGCTGAGAAGAAGTGGATTGCCTGATTTGGTCTAAGATCTCGAGCAAACCGTGCATCATCCCAACTATAACACCCCCAGTGACCGGAATTAGAAGAATCCGGTGCCAAGTGTCAGCTAGTCTCTGTAGACGGAGCCATGCAGCACCTTCGTTGGGAGTACCAGCCCATGCCCACTCATGAATAACATGAACCTAGACAATAGCACTACTCTAATGAATCAGCAGTCAAAATAGTATAACGTAAATTAAAGCTAGCAGGATCAAGGTGTTCAATCGAATCAACATAGATCGAGATCTGATCTATGACCGTACCCCTTTGTTGAAGCCAGCGACACAAATTCCAGCGGCAACACCGATAAGACAGCCGATGAGAAGCAAAGCCCACTCAGGTGGAGCACTATCTCCGAGCACTTCTTCATCAAATCCGTACTCGTCAATTCGATCATCCACGTTATGTAAATTACTGATACCACCGCCATCTTCTTCTGCAGCCGAAAACGCGGAGGAAGAAGAAGACGGGTTGTGGCGCTCTCTATCGACTCTGTTATTCTCCATCCGTTTGAAGCTTAAACGACGCCCGGAGAGTGAAAATCTCCGATCCAGATGCTTAAACAGATCCCTAACTCCTCCCGCTCCACTTCTGACAGCCGGAGACTGAGATTCAACATCGATATCACCATCCTCTCTACCAATGCTGTCTTCATCGCCGGTGGATCGCAACAGATGCCTGTCTTCGTTATACTCTCCGGCTCCTCCCGATGACATATCTGATTTCAATGGGCCGTTAGCAACACATCATCTCCTCGCTATGACAATTCACGATGGTACGTTCTCCGGGAAGAAATATAAATCTACGGCTCAGAGATTCGTCGCCGGTGTTGTTCAGATTTGATCGGATTCAGATTTCCGAGACTTTTTACCGTCTCGATAACGAAACACGCGGCAGGAGTCGTAAAGAGAACCTTCACTGTCAACTAGAAGATTCAAGCCAGAATTTATGGGCCTATATTGGATTTTTTCTAATTATAATATCATTTTATTATTCAAATTATCGCCACAAGTCGATATGTCCGAGTGGTTAAGGAGACAGACTTGAAATCTGTTGGGCTTCGCCCGCGCAGGTTCGAACCCTGCTGTCGACGATTTATTTTAATTTTTGTTCTTTTCTTATTTTTTATATATATTTTTGTTATTGCAACTACAGAAAACAGTTTAGTTATTAACTCATACAACACTGGGACAAAAGAAACTTACAGTACAGAACAACCTTTAGAAATTTATTTAATAGTTTTGGAAGATAATCTCTGTGCTGAAACATATCTGGGCAAGCCTAATGAACGTCAGAACTGAGAACAGCTACACTTTGTTTTGTTTAATCAATATCACAAAATTGCCTTTGAAACAAAAACCAAAAACTAGGATCTTCTATATTTTTTCAGCTTTGAAAGTAAATGAGCATAATGCCCTTTCTCCACCATGTCCTTAACTACCTCGTGAGCCTCTAAAAGCTTCCCGGCATTTCTAAGATTGTTCACCAGTGTACTATACACCACAAAATTAGGGTTACACCCTCTTGACTCCATTTCCTTGAGCAACGAGCACGCCTCTTTGAACTTTCCCGCCATACAAAACCCCCGGATCAGGGAATTGTATGTGAAAACATTTGGGAGCTGTCCCTTTTCCGTCATCTCTTTGAACATCTCCTCAGCTTTCTCGAGCTCCCCGCCTGAAATATATCCTGTAATCATAACAGTGTAGCAAACAACATCCGGCGTGCATCCAACTTTCACCATTTCGTCCATAAAGTATTGGCAAGCTTCTAACTTCCCAGCTCGGCTAAGCCCGTCTACGAGAGTAGTGAAATGGATCACACCGGGTTCTACTCCAACTTCCCTCATATGATTTAGTAAGTTAAGAGCGGCGAGAGGCTTGTTTCCTGTTGCCAGATGGTGGAGGAGGATGTTGTATGTATACAAATCAGGAGAAAACCCGTCTTTAACCATTTCATCAAGCAATCTATAAAGCCGATCTGTTTTCCCTAACCTAAAGTTTGCAAACATTACAATGTTGTAAGTCAGAACATCTGGTGAAAACCCGTCTTCTAACATCTGCTCGCAAACCCAATCAATCAGCTTGTACTGTTTCACACCTAGCAAAGAATGCAAAATAGCGTTATAGGAGTGTTTGAAAGGTCGGTAATTGAAAGTTTTGGACTTGATGAACTGCTCCACGACTTCTCTAGCAAGGCCTGCTTCGCCGCAAGTACATATCAACAGATTAAACGTGCGTGCTGTTGTTGGATAACCGTCTTTGATCATCTCATCAATCAGCCTGCACATTGCTTTATACTCACCACACTCTGCAAATATCTTCATAAGTAAGTGATAACAATTGGCAGTATGCCTGAAACTCTCTTGTGCACCACACCACACAAAGAACTTGTAAGCTAGCTTAGCACACCTGGTCTTATTATCATAGCTCAGAGTCCTTAAGATCCCAACAAGAACCTCTCTCACCAAAAGCCCTGAGATTGTAACATCCAACTCATCTAAAGCTGATTTCGTATTGAATCCGGGACAATCTTGCTGTAACGTATCGAGAACCCGAGACGCACCGAGCTTAGCACTGTCCAAAAACCTTCTCCTAATAGAGATTTTCTCATCATGTTCCTCCTTCTCAAACCCACAATCCATTTCAGAAGATTCCCAGGTGACCTTCATGGGCTCTTCGATGCCATTATTGGTTACATCACCACCGATGCTACCATTGCAAAATTTCCTCGATGTGAAGAGAAAGCGAGAAGCTTTACGGACTACAACACCTGTGCCGGAATGAATTACAGAGTTCATCATATTTGAGTTTAATACAAAATTGATTTCTCTTCATCATCTCTGCCACTTGAAGGAACTAAGCAGAATCGAGAAACCTAAATTAAAAGACGCAAATCTCACCACCGCGAGCCTCGGATTCCCAAAATCGCTAAAACCCATCAAACTGTAGTATATCTTTCGGCAATTAAAACAAATCTGAATCTAGGTTTCCACGAATCCCATCTGAAACCGACGATTACCTTGACGAGGGAGACGAGTTCAAGAGGGTAGAATGGTAAACTAAACGAACCTGAAACGATCAAGTTCCACTCAGTCGTCTTGTTGCTTCTCTGCTCTTTGTTCTGACTTCTGAGTTCTGAGAAATGAGAAGATAATCGCCCAAACCCAAACACACACTTTTGGATAGGATCCGACCCGAAATTTATGGGCCCTTAATTTAAACTGGCCCAATCCATAACGTTCCCACTTGCCCCTTAAATTTGACTGGCCCAGTCCATAACGTTGCCAACGTGGGAAGCACTTTTTTTTTGTTTTAAATTTCGGTTAAAAATTGGTTGACTAGAGAACTCAAAATTGGAGTCCTGACTCTGGTGTCCTCTCCGGCGAGGCAATGTTAGCACCGGTGGAGACTCTTCCAATTACGGCCGAGGAGACAAGTCTCTCTGCCGGTGATGTCATCGCCATGTCGATGCATAATATAATAGCTACTGTTTCTAGCTACCGTCCATGGTGGTCTGAATTCCTAACATTAGGTTCCATCGACCATCCAACCACTTTCTCCACAGCTACTTCGCGCGTTAAAGTCAACCTCCGTCATTTCGCCGTTAACTACTTTCTTTTAGCAGCAGCTTTGGTCACACTCTTCTTGATCGTTGATCCAACTTCTCTTCTCACCGTTGCCTCCTCTGCAGTCATGTGGCTGCTCCTGTATTTCTATCGGGACCATCCATTGTTCTTGTGCGGTCGACATATTAACGACCGCGTGATCGCCCTCGGGTTGATCCTTGGCTCGCTTTGGGCGTTGTGGTTCGCAAACTGCCTCCAGGGTCTGGTTCTTGGCATCGTTGCAAGCGTCTTGCTTTGTTTGGTCCACGCCGTTGTACGGAATTCTGAAGACCTCTTTGTACAAGAAACTGATGTTGTTGTTCCTTCCAATTTCCCTCATTGGAGCTGATAATGTTACTATTAACAGCAAGACTATCTCCAAAGGGAGCTTAAAAGTTATTTTAATTAAATAAAAAGAATTAGATAGCTAGGTTAAGGGTGACGTGGCAGTTCCTGATTGGCTGCAAACTGTGGGGAAAATTTATATTTAAAATAAATAAGTTTTAAATTTTATGTAATGCAATATTTTGTATGTTTTTTAATTCATGTAATGCAATATAATTTTAAATTGTTATATTTTAACCAAATAAATTCTATTTTTAAAAAACATTTATTTTTAAGAACCCCTAATGAGGTCACCATTGGAAAAGGTAAAAAAATAAAAAAAAACCCTAAGAGATTCACAAATTATAGTTAAATCATAAATTTTAATTGAAAATGTCTACCCTTAATATGGGTTCACCTTTGGAGATGCTCACACCAATACTTGAATACATTAAAATAGGTAAATAAATCATAAATGAAACCTTTATTTGTATGAATAAGATTCTAACTATAACATTTTTTGTAAAACCAAGTACGTTTGCTACAGTTTCGCAGATAGTTAGTTTTACATCAACTTTAAAAAGATTCAAGGAGATTTTTTTTTTGTTCTTTTTGTATGTGACCAAATATTTTCAGCTAAATGAGCCAATGAGAGAGTATCGGTCAACTAGAAATGAAGCATGGATCCATAGATTAGGCCTAAGTCTGATCTTTGCTAGACTCTTTTCATAAAATGGATGGTCCTCAAATAATTCTGTAGTAAAGTTTACTATCTATAATAGAAAAATTTCAACTGATTATTGTTAAAAAAAATGTTTGACCAAAAAAGATTATGTACAGAAAATATTTGAAATTTTTTCCTATTCGAGCTTGGATTTTGAGTAACCAAGTAGGAGAAGTTCTTGTCGACGCTTTTAGCTCGATGAACATAATTGCAGCGGAGTTGCAATGTTTCTTGTGTTGCCTCCGGGGTTTTCATGATTTACACTTTGATTTGTGTGAGGTGTGGTCCGATTGTGGAGCTGCGTTGCAGCTTTAGAAAAGCTTTTGGAGTGGCATAAATATCGCCCCCCTTCTAGTAAAGATACAACAAATTCTCAATAAGATGCATACGACGATTTTCATATTTTCCTCTCTGAAAGCCAACTCGGTGGAACGGGACATATCATGCAACGTCACACGAGATGGACGTCTTACCTCATATCTGGCGTTAGGAGGTCCGGTATGGCTTCATGCTAGGATAGATGGCGATCGACATAGTGGACGGTGAGGCTCTGTTCTAGTCATAATTTTTGTAGTTTTAATATTTCCGTTTATTAGCTTCATTTTTGTACTCTCCTTTTTGATATATTACTAGACGATAAAAAAATCAGTTGCAACTTTTTTCCAGAAAAAAATCTAATATGATATAACCAAAAGTCGATAACGGTCAATTTATATTATTAAAATATTAAAGCAAAAATCATTTACTTAACTTAAGATTTTAATATCAATAAAATCCTATCCTTTTACTACATTTTTATTCTTTCAAAAACCAATACAATTAATTTGACTTTATGTTATAAGCTGTAAATTAAAATTAATTAACGTGTTGACTATGTTAAAAAAAAAAAAGAAATTAAAAAGATGTAGTGTAGTTTTCAATGTGGTGGAGACAAAAAGTGAAAATTTGTATATAAATATTTGACCTCTAATTCTGGATAAGAAGATTTTAAAAATATAGTCATTTTACTTCTCAAGGTTAAACAACAACTTTTTAACCTTTGACCAAAAAACAATCCAAACAAAATTATGTCGACAGATCCTTCTCAAGTTAAAGTGGTTCTTGCTGCCCCTTATGCGTTAGAAGAAGGCGATTCTTCTCGTATATCAATGTATCAGATTCTTGTCCAAAACCCTGTACTTTTCTGGGATAGGCTACGAGGTTTTTTCAAATCTTCAAAAAGAAATTTTAAGTGAGTTATTCCTTTCCTGTCATAAATTATTTTTACTTTTATTCTATATGTTCTTGACGAATCTACTGATTTGCAAATTATTATCGTGGATGGAAAAATCATAACCTTCATTAAACTGATGGATTTAGTAGAGATTCCTGCAATTTTGTTCCCGATCCTTTGTGTGGTGTGTTATAAATGACGTGTACATAGGCATCACCTTTCAAAAGAATAAGTTGATGTGTTTTCTAGGTTTGAGCGTTCAACGTTCGGAGGGCGGCGGTTTTTTATTTTAATGAAAACCCTAGAAAGTGATCCCTAAGAAAAACTGTATATGGGCCTTGGCCCAAAAACTAATTTGAAAAGAAAAAAATAACTCATATATTTTAATATGATTTTATATGAAATTCATTTGAAGAGATGGAAGCATATTTATTAGGTTTACATATCTTTAAGGCAAGCAAGTGTATGTAGTTTATTAAATTGATCTAGTTTGTTCTTGAATAAATAGTCCATAATCAGTCTATGATTTGGTTTTCATAAAATTTTGATTTGCTAAGCCATGAAGAGGTTTAAGAGTGTGTCTCTTTGTTCCAAAAAAAGAAAAGGAGTGTGTCTTTTTTTCGGTTCCCTTTAATGGCAAATAACTTGTTTTAGAAGTTACATGTTGGGAAATGGGAATAGTTTTGGTCCTCTTTTCATATATATGTTGATTGGTTTTGCTTAACTTGATTTATTCTCTTCAATAAGATTTTATTTCTTGGAATATTTCTGATTTTTTTTTCCTTTAATTTTGTAAAAGGATTCCTATTGTGGGTGGAGACAGTCTCGATCTGCACCGGCTTTTTTGCGAGGTCACATCTCGAGGTGGTCTTGAAATGGTAACAAGTTCTTCAATAGTGTCATTGAACATGAAGTTTTGAAGCTATATATTGTGTAACATTACAGTATTCATTCAAGAACGTACGATCATGTTTTATAGTTTAATCTTATATATCAATATCTAGGTGATCAAGGATCGTAGATGCAAAGAAGTGATGGATGCATTCCAGTTCAAGACAACAATTTCAAATGCAGTAGGTGTTCTAAGGAAAAATTATCTGCAAATGCTTTTCGAATTTGAGCATGTGTATTACTTCAAAGCTCCACTTTCTGAGTTTCCGAGTAGAGGTATGAAAATACCAAATGAGTTTTCTTAGTTATGTCTCTCTTTCTAATATAGTTCTCCAAAATGATCAGAGATATTAATATATACTTTGTTCGTCCTTTTTTGGCAGAAAAAGCATTAATGCGGCTTGTTGAGAAATCTGCAATCCATGACGACATGGGTACTTAAACATCCTATTTTTTTGGATATGTTACATGATGGTTTGCATATTTAGTCTCTTTTTTTTTTTTTTTTTAATCTTATTTTGAGTGTGGAGATTTGTTTCCTGAAAATATTTCAGATGTTGAAGAAGCAAAACCTGGCTTTGTGTTTAATGGGGTCATCGATGGGAAATTCGAAAACGGCTATTTTATAAAAGTGAAGATGGGCTCGGAAGAGCTCAAAGGAGTGATATTCCAGATGCGTGATCAAGCGCCTCCGAAAACTCAAAAACACAAGAATAAGAGAGTCAAAACATCTCATCATCAGGAGGGTCCTCAGCGACCTAAGCCACCAAGAAGTGCTTATAACTTCTTCTTTTCCGAGCAATGCGCTAAGCTTAAAGGCGAGTTGGGTACTGGAGCAAAGGGATCTCTCACCAAGGAAATTGGGAAGATGTGGAGCAATCTCTCTGAATCTGATAAACAGGTAACACATTCTGATCATCTAAGTTTTATTTTTCTCGAATGAGATTGAATGAATTTGGTTTATGATTGTTAAACAGGATTATGAAGAGAAATATCTTAAGAAGAAGAAGAGGGTTAGCATGGAGTTGTTAGCTGCGATCAATGCTGTGGAAACTGTCGCTGCTACTGTTAAAACCGAAACTATAGCTGGGATCCAGGTTGTAGAAACTGTAGCTGCCACCAATGCAGTGGAAACTGGAGTTGTGACTGATACAACAAAAACTGTAGCTAGGATGGAGGCAGCGGAAACTGTAGCTGAGACTGAGACAGTGGAAACTGTAGCTGCGACTGAGGCAATAGAAACTGTAGCTGGCATGGATGCAGTTGCAAGTACAAGTGAGTAGTGTTTCTCAATGGTTGTCTTCTTGGTTTGGTTTTACTTTATATTTTCTGTTATGAGAACTTGCGTTTAATAATAAGTTGTAGAACTGGCCGTAGGGCAACTCTTTCATTCAACTTTGTGTTTTGTTTGAACTTTATTATTATAATCCTGAAATGTAAATTATATGCCAAACTTTATGCTTGAAGTGTTGGGTTATCTCTTTTGCTAAAATGCAAATATCATATAAATGAAAGAGTTTGGTTTACAGAAGATAACCAACAATTTGGTTTCCTGGCAAAAAGTGGAAAAACAGGAAAGCAAAAGAGCCTTAAAATTACAAAGAATCAGTGCAGCCAAAGACGCATAAGTTTTTTGAATTGCTTATTGAGCTTCCTTGCAGTGATTGAGTTTCGAATCCCACGGTCCACTTCCTTAAATATTACCGAAGGAGGCACATGAATAAGGTTGTGGTAAAGGTTGTTTCGCTGTCTCCAAATAGCGTAGATAATAGCCTGAACGACAAGCTTGCGGAGCGTCCGGGGGGCTCTCCTGCTATCAGCGCACATCCAAGCAAGCAAATGATTCCAAGATCCAAAGTTAATGGGTGGCATATCCAGCTTTTTGCTTACCCCATTCCATAAGAAAAGAGCAAAATCACAGGATAAGAAAAGATGGTCTCTAGTTTCTGACTGAGAGGAGCAGAAGCCACAAATCGAAGAAAGATTCATTCCCCATCGAACCAGTCTTGCTCTGGTAGGAAGGCGGTCCAAATTAGCAGTCCAAAAGGTGAAGGCATGCTTTGGTGTGGCCCCTTTAAACCAAACAGAGTTATGCCAGTTCACGACCTCTGTTCTCGGTCTAAGAATCTCCCAAGTTTTAGAAGAACTGAAACCATTACACACTTTATTATCCACCACCCAATCATAGGAATCAGAACCTTTAGCCGGGCAAGGGATTGAAATGGTAGTTAGGTGGACATGAAGGCGCATGGCTTGGTCCGTACGCGGGCAGGCAAGAATCCAGCCATAGGAGTCGCACGCATCAGAGACCTTAGCGTGAAGTGGAATCCTTAAGTCGCAGGGGCCTTGAAGACCAATGCTCTTGATAAGTGGCCCTAGAGGAGTCCAATTATCAAACCAGAAGCTCGCATTAAGACCATTGCCAATATTACATTTAATGAAACCCTCTGCCAAAGGTCTCAATCGAAGCAAGCATCTCCAATTCCAAGAAGCTGAGGCAATTACGGGTTGATTCCAGAAGCTAACCATCCTACTGCAGTTGTATATATCTATAGAACTTGAACGGGTGCTTGTAGGTATATATCTTTTACTCAAGAGATTTACATGAATGGGACGACAGTAACAATATGTTTATTATGCTCAGTAAATTTGGAAAAGCTTTCCTTCATATTTTATTCATTAAGAAAATTAATTAAGAGAAGAAATCGTTTCGTTTGCCCTAGGCATGCAAGGCATTAAATCATTCATATTAAAGCCGGTCCTAGAGAAGCGTACTTTTTGTTCTTCTCTATAAGCCTACTTTTACAAGTGAAGAGTTTCTTATTTATCTTGTCTATGTTCTCTCTTGTGTTGTGTTGGCTATATATTTGTTCTTGGTTACTCGGCCAGATTCCAAGTTTCTTATAGATCTACAAGTCCTTAGTGGGTTATGACCAACGAAGAGAAACGTGCAGATTGTGAAGATATGGACAAGATCAGTTCGTTGCCTGATGAGGTGCTCGTGAAGGTACTATATATCATTTCTTCCAACAAAAGAGGCTGTAAGCACAAGTCTTCTATCCAAGCGGAGGGAGGTTCTTTGGATGTGGCTGCCTAAGCTTGAGTACCGTTGTAGTGACTTTTCAGTGCCTCAAGGCCAGATGTTACGGGAATTTATTGATTTGAATCTGCCATTACATAAAGCTCTCGAAAGCTTGCGTCTCAAGTTTAGCCATGGAGCAATTGGAGGAATCAAACCTAAATATATCACACTGTGGGTTTCAATTGCAGTTCTCCTCTGCGTCCGTGAGTTAAGTCTTAAGCTTTTTTCTTTTGCCAATAGTCAAACTAAATTGCCTTGTAACTTGTATGTCTCCAAATCGCTTGTGATCTTGAAACTGGAGGACGACATTTTCGTGTCTGTGCATCGTATGGTATGTCTCCCCTCCCTCAAAACTTTGTCCCTTCGACGTGTGACCTACTCGTGTGAGAATTCTCTTCACCAACTTCTGTCTAAGTGCCCTGTTCTCGAGGATCTATTTGTGGAACGAGATAAAATTGACAACTTGGAGAAATTGATAGTGATGGTCAAGTCATTGCAGAGACTAACCCTAAAGATGTGTAGTCCTTGTTATCTTGATGGGATTATGATTAATACTCCTCTGAAGTATTTGGAAGTCACTGATCATAGGCTAGAGAGTGACAGTGAAGACGAGAATGATAGTGATAGTCCTATATTCTCCTACTCATTTGAAGATATGCCGAAGTTGGAGGAGGCTGGTTTTGTACTGACATTCCAAAACATCAAAAGGTATTTTGGATCAATCACATCTGTTACGCGGCTTTCTTTATGCTTAGGAGTCTACATCGAACCGGTAAATCTGTTTCTATCCATCCATCCATCAATATTGTTTTTGAACCATCTCAAGTGTTTTCTTGAGGTTGAATCTTTTGTTATCTTGTGCAGGCTTTATATAGCGAGGGTATTGTCTTCAACCATCTCAAACATCTGAAGATATGTTCATGTGATTCAAGTTGGTCAATTTTACTTGCTCGGCTACTCAAGGATTCTCCTAATTTACGAGAGATTGAGGCCTATCTGATAGATGTAAGTTTTCTCATGTAAGAGAGATATCCTGTTGTTTTAATATTATTACTATAGTGATTAATCTAAAGTCTCATGTTTGGTCTCAGTATCATCCAGACCGGCGTGTGGAATTTCCAAATAAATGGGACAGTGCACTGAACAGTGTTCCTAGATGTTTGTTGTCGAGTGTGGAGACTTTCAAGTGGACTGAGATGTACGCATTGCAGAACCAGATGGATGTGGCTAAATATATCTTATGAAATGCTCTCTGCTTAAAGACTGCCACAATCTTGTTTGCGCCATCTTATGCTGCAGACACGGTGGATGTGATGATCCAGGAGTTGTCACTTTCTTCTCGAGGTTCAAAAACATGCCAACTCATCTTTGGTTGAGGATGTGAATCATAAGGATTCAGACTTGCTTTTCTATAGACACTACCCTCTCTATTACAATGGTTTATCTTGTCAGATTTTTAAATTTGGTTTTATTTTGTCAGTTTATAACATTGGATTTAACATTGAGGATGTGAATCATAAGGATTCAGAAGGTTTTATCATCTCAGTTTTATAACATTGGTTGTATCTTCTCAGATTTTGAACATCCTAGACTCTTTAGGTATGAGATTAGCTTAACGAAATCACTTATGTTCTCAGACCAATTAGCGCAAACTAAATCGAAATATTGAGAGTAATAAGAAAATGTAATTTCATCTATGTTTCCATGTGTATTCTTCTTCTTAAAGTTTGTAAATGGCGAAATAAAATAGTTGCAAAAGGAGGGAGAAGTCTTGGACAGCAACAACAACAACAGAAGAATATGAAGAAACAGAGATAGAGAATAGATTAGATAGCTTGCGGAACAAGTCAAACATATACATATACGAGAGAGAGATGGGATGAATCAGCCAAAGAAGCTGGGGTCGTACCCATTGCTGGAAGTAGCCAAGATGTAGTAAGCAACGATGTGTCCAATAGAACCCCAAGCAAGAACATCGACGATGTTGAATCCAACTGGATCGTTTGATTTCAAGAGGCTGACGTACTCTTTAGCACGGTCATCTCCAGCTTCGAAGTGGGTTTTGCCGTTCTGCTCCGGTACCTGTTTCGCTACGTTCTCTCTCTGGAAGTTGAAGAAGACGAAACGGCCGAGGAAGAGGGAGAGACCTGTGCTCAGGCTTATGACCACGGAAGGGCTAAGCTCAGCTCTCACGACGGCGGAGGACGATTTTCTTCCGGAGGTGGTTGATAGTTTGGGTAAAGCGGAGGAGGAGGAGCCACCGAGACGGAGAGGACGAAGGCCATGAAATGAGATGGTGTTAGGGTTCTTATGAGAGATGGCAGTGGAGAATGTGGTTGGTGAGAGCAAAGCCGATGCGCTTGTAGCCATTATGCTTCTTCTTCTTTCTCCAAGAAATTTTTTCAGCAAAGGAGAAATGAGTGGTTTGGATTTATGATCTTGAGTTTGGCTTCTAGGGAGAGAGCACCTAATGGAGATGAAGCAGATGCAAGATTTTGTTTGTGAGGATACGATTACGGATGATGATGTGGCATTCTCTCGTTGGTTCTTTCTGGATTATAAGATTTTCAGGAAAATATAATTGCCTTCAAGCCCCTCTTGTTCACGCGGTTTTACTTATACGACCTTGGTGTTTTCTTGTTCAATCGATTTAGTTTAGTTGTTCACCCACCTATATATATTACGCACAAGTAAAAGGATCATATAGTTATGAAACCATTATAATATAATTAATCCAACAATCGGCAGAATCAACTCTGAAATTGAGTACCTACAAGTGACCGTAGCCAGATAACAAACAAGCCACAGGCTCGAACCATGCAGCAAACTCGCCGAAGCTCAACACATATGTACACATACATGAACTTTTCAACACTCGATAAATGAAAATCAACTAACTAAATCGGCTCTCTGTCCTAATAGCACTTGCACAACACATCATTTACAGCATTTGAGATCCACTTGAGTTTTATGTTTTTTTTTTGTTCTCGGGTTTCTCAGTCTAACAAAGCGACAGGAGAGTGCAGCACATATGTATAGGCTCTTTTATTCCTCTGACATGTCGGGTGATTATAGATATGAATCAAGGTAGGAGTAGTTGTGGCGCCTGTTATACTCAATCAGACTTCCATAAGTGCGATCCCAAACACCAATGAAGAGCGCTTCTGTGTCAGGGCTAAAGGATATTCCCGAGATCTCCCCGAAGAAGTCAATCTCTTGCTCCATTTCATACCCGTTTGAGACATCGTACACATGGACAAAGTCAGCCGGCTCAGCCATGGCCATGTATTTCCCATCCGATGTGTAGCGGATGGATCGGATTGCTCCAAGGTTACCCCTCAAGACAGCAACAGATTTTGACAGGTTGCGAATGTCCCAAACCCTGCAGGTCTTGTCCTGGTTACCCGTTGAGAAAGTGAGCCCATCTGGATGCCATGCCGATGCAAAGGAAAAGTCCAAATGTCCTGATACCGTTCCCAGCGTCTGTCGAATATTCCAAACTGAGTAAGAAAAGCAAATTTATGCTGGGATACTTAAACACAGAGATCATATATGTACCTTTCCTGTGTTGGGGTCGACCAAAAGGCCATCTGGGTTGTCTCCCACAATCGTCAATAATTTACCATCAGGACTTAGAGATGTGTGCTGTTCAATACCAAAAAAAAAAAAACCCATTTAGTCAAATGATTTCCGTAACATAATTGTAACTGAAACTTACTGCCAGAAGTTCTACAGCCTACATGTCAACTAATACCCATTCTTTATATGACTTTGTAATGTAAAAGAGGAATGAGAGATCCAATAACGTAATTGTAACTGAAACTTACTACCACAGGTGCTACATGCCAACTTATACCAAAGCCAATACCAAAAAATCAAGAAACAAGTAGAGACTTACATTCACCGGCCAAGGAAAGCGGAAATGATTAACAAGCTGGTATCTCTCCATATCAAAATCTCTGACTCCACAATCATTATTCGAGGCAGTGAAATGAAGCGCCCCACTGCAACAGACAGGCGCCAAAAGGCCAGTTAGAAGATGTAAGTCGTACAAGTTGGCAAAAACAACCCCAAGCAAAAGACATGCAAATACCTGGGCTTGTTATAAATCTCAATCGCATTGGTTATAGCATTGTCATCATAAGTTGTACGTGAACAAAAGCTCACACCAGGTCTATCAAGATGCTGAATCAAGAATAGATGTAAGTTCCTTGATTAGCTTGTGTGTAATTGTTGTCCGAATTCCATGATTAGTAGAAACCCTGGAGCTTACCTTGCATATAAGTTCTCCTTGAAATCCGCCGGCAACTAGAAATTTATCTCTCACTGCAAGTGTACTCACTTGAGTCTTCGTAAACCCCTCTAACAAACTTCCAGGATGTTTCTGCACCCACACAAGAACAAAGAACCACTATTAATTTATGTATGTATTAAAGGAAGAGCATTTTAGCATTCTGGAACAAACTAACCTCGGATGGGGAAACATGACCTTGAACATTGAGAACTTCATGCTTTCCAGATGTCAAAGTAGAATAGTGGCTCACCAAATATTGTGACATGAGGTAGACATCGTGCTTAGAAGTTGCCCAAACCAAATTCCTCAACTACAATCCAACGAAAAAGACCTTTACTTAGATGTACGCGTAGAGAAGTTTTTAGCAGAATAAACGTTCTACGAATTTCATACAGCCTCATTACCGATACACATGATATACAGATTAAATTACCAAAAGAACATCGACAGAAAAAAAAAAATTATATATTGCTTCGATGATATGAACCTGGAAATGAAGAATACTTGATTTGATAGATCTTGTATTCCGCCAGAAATCATAAAAAACAGCCCCTTTCTGTGTGACCATGCAATCCTGTGTTCAATAAGCAACAAATAAAATGTAACAATTGAAATCAATATACATGAAACATGTTGACAACAAGCTGAATGAAAGACTTACTTTCCCTGAGGATTCCCCAGAATTAGGGACATTTTCATAATTTTTATACTGTTCTAGTCTAGTTTGTCTGTACTTCTCTCTCGTAATACTAAGCCTGTCCCAAGGAATCCCCTGGATGTCTTTCCCTTTCCGGGCTTGGTCAGCTGAAGTATCAGCTATTTTATTATTCTGAAGACAAAGAAAGAATCCACACAACAGAGTAAGAGAGATTGCAGAATAATTATTAGTCTATATTGGTGCTATAAATTTCAAAAAAGGGATACTTACAGAGTAGTCAAACTCGTCGACATCGGAATCAGATTCAGCCAGATCATCGCCACGAAAATCCTCATCGAAATCATCATCAACATCTTCCATTTCATCATCAACATCATCCATATACTCAGCATCGTCCCCTTGGAAATTGGACATTCTTCAGTTGATAAAAACAAAAACGGGACCTGCATCATCATAGCCGAAAAGCACCGTTATTGTTAATGAAATCCGAAAGCAATGGACCACATAAAGCTACAGTAGAGTAGAATCCAAAATCACCAAGAGATTAAACTTAAAAACTCCTAACATCAAATCGTATGAAGTGGACAATCAAGTAGAAGATCAGGACTCCATGAGAGATTATGCAATCATAAATCAAAGTCCATGCTCGAAGAAACCTAAACTACCGACATAACCGAAGAAGGAGAAACGAAACCAATTATGAATAAGCCTCAAAAGCACAAACCCTAACAACCGAAATATCAATTCCAAAAACTCAGGAACATGAACAGAAAAAAATAATCAAAGGCGGAGAAAACCTAGGATCGATGATAGATTCACCTGGCGAAGAAGCAATTCGTGCAATTCAAAACGGATTTGTCTAGCGGAATCCAGGAAAAAGAAAAAATGAATCTAAATTAAGTTTCGAGTTGCATAAAATAACATCGGATCGATGGAGAGCGAGTTCAGAACACGAACGGAGAAGAAGAAGAAGAAGAAGGAAGAAGAGAGAGAGAGAGGGGAATAGCGAAATTTATCTTTGGGGTTTGTTCACCACAGTGGAAAAGGACGGTCTCAGTTTTTTCCTTTTTTTAAATTTCCTTTTTTTTTTTTTCTTTCTTAACAGTTAATCCAAAACATACATATGTGACATTTAGTTGACGGTTTTACCCTTGCATAATTCGTATTTACAGTGGTTCTGATTACGAGGGCTGTTTTGTCTTTTACCTCGCTGCTTTCGTAAGATCATATCATATTATTATGCAATTTTTTTTTAAAACACTCTCTCTAATCAAATCATATAAAACATTTAACAACTGCAAAATCCACTTGGAAGATCAGATTCTCAATTAATCATTTAATGCTATAGTTTGCTTCTATTATGTCAAACAAACGCGGATTCTACAGAGACTCTTAGGGGGTGTTATTGGATGGAGGTTTTTAATTACCATAGGATAATAGTGGATTTAAAAGTTCAATGGATTTCTAATGCATATAACGTGGATTTAGAAAGTGTTTGTAGTGGATTTGTGAAGATTTATTTTTTCTGAAAAAAGTGGATTTTTTTGGTATTATTATATATCGATATTTGTAAGATTTTCTTGTTTCAAGAATCATCTATGTTTTACATAAATAGTGATTAGAACTTTTCTTCAATAAATGATTATCAAGTTTTAAATAACTGTTATGCTTATCATTTTTTTGTGTCTCCATCGTCACCTTACTTCTTTGTTTTACAAGTTTTTTTAATCTGCAACCCTTTTCAATTCTCTTTTCAATTCCTCCTATGGTGATGGCCCTCTCATATCCGAATTCAAATCACGCTCGATTCTATTATCCCAAATTGCTCTAAAAAGATCTAATCCAAAAATTTATTGAAACTTGCTTGAAACGACAATGGTGAGTCTTGGAACATCTATTCCATAACGTTGGTAATACTGATAGGGGTTGTGGTGATTTTCCAAAACAATTCTAATTTTATGGGATGAAGAATAATAAAAAAAAGACAAATTTATTTTTAATGCATTTCAAAATAAACGAAATACTCCAAAATACAGATGAAAATGGTTGGATTTGTTTTACTCATGATCTCGCTTAAGAAATCCAATCAAATCCATTATAACTAAAATCAAATGTATATTGAATAACGGAGGATTTTAATGCATTTCAAAATACATCAAACAAATGCTTGATTCAATAATGGTGTACTTTTAAAATACATTAAAATCCACTAAAATACAGTATCCAATAACCCCACCTTAAATGTTTAACTTTCTCATTATCAAAAATGCCTACTAAAAAGATTTGCAAAATCTCATGTTGTATATGTGTTTTGGTTTAAACACAATCTCATTTGTCTAGCTTTAGTGACTTAATACTGTGATCTACAGCACCGATTACAACAAAAAAGGTTTTGGTGCTTAAAACTTTGATCCCAATCTACATACATATTGCCTCGACGAGTGCTCTATCAAACTCTTGCACTTGGTTCTTCAAATATATATCTATCTTATGGTAGCGTCGTCACGATAGCATAAGCTTAGAGGGATGATTCGTTTTGCTCTATGAATCATCAGAAATGAATGTTAAACAAATTGGTTCTTCAGAGACTCGTAGTGTATTCTCATTATCAAAATACCCTTAAAAAGGATTTACAAAATATCATTTGTTTAGCATAGTGTAGTTTCTTATCTACACCGATTACAAACAAAAGGGTTTGGTACTTCAAACTCTGATTTCAATCTAAATTATCAAAGACATGACTGATCCTCAGAGGTTTTCTCTGTCCTTATCTTCTTCTTCTTCTTCTTCTTTTATAACTTTAAAAAGTAGAAGCAGAGGGACCTATTTAAAAAAAGAGAAAAAAGTTGTGAACCAAGTTAGAGTAGGGAAGGAGCTAAAGAACCTAACATGTGTTTTGTTATCGGGATCTGTTCTCTCTTTCTCTCGCTGTATGTGCAGATTTGTATTTGTGCAAAACTCAGATGTTCTCTTAAGGCTTTTAACAGAACAATCTTCTTCTTCTCTGCAAAAACAACAATCTCGAGTGTTAAAGTCATCTCATCAAGATGTGTTTGTTGCTATACTGAACCAATAAGTACTTACGTGAAGTTGGGAATCTCGCAAACTTTGCAGCATTTCAGTTATCTCCATCTGTTTCATCACAGTGACGTGTAAAAGCTGCAACCATGCAATGAAAATATTTTAAGTCCCCATACTGAATATATAAGTTTGAAGGTTAAGACATATAAGAAAGGTATCGTACCCTCTTTGTTTTATCGAGATCAAACTCAACCGACTTGATTCTTTCTAACGAATCCATCAACATTCTCTCCTTCTCCACAGGTATGGCAACGGGTTTGTTCCGGATATCCTCATAACTTTTCTCCAGTTTCTGAATTCGCTCTAAACATGGAAGAATCCGGTCTTTCATTGTGGGCTGTCTAGGAGTTGGGATGAGGCTGCATCTACTCTCATCTTCTGTTGGACTTGAAGGGCTTACTGTGGTCTGGCTTCTCAGAAGCTCAAACGGGGTATAACGGAAAACTGCAGCTAGTTTCAGCATTAAAGAAAGTAGCCTTTTTGCTAGGTTCTCACATTTTATCTTGTCAATTTTCCCCCTTAACTCATGAAGCCAACTAATGATGGGAGCACCTACAAGATACCAGATGGAAAATGAAATCCAAAAGGTGAGAAAATTATATAGGAAATCTGTTTGATTACAGACAAAAAGAAAAACCATATGTAATGGAATTGTTTTAGCAGTAAAGCATGAATAAGAAGTATAACCTGGTTGAGATGTTTCACATTTTAAACGGAGAGTTGTTTGATTGAGTCCGAGCATTTGGTAATGGGATGACTTTTCTTGGCTTCTTCGGTTACCAGCTTTGTCAGGTACGGCAAACTTGTCATCGCAACTAAAATAGCCGTTAACATCCGATGCTCTAGACTGCATAGATCACATTGTTCCGGTCAGTATTAAGAAACTAGAGTAGTCTGTGATACAAATGTACCAACACAAGAACTCACTTCCTCATAAGTTAGATTCACACGAGCAGATGATGAGCACATTCTTCCAGTTGGAGAAGTAGGAACATCAGAACAAGATACCGAGTCGGCTGCTGAAGTCTCTGCTTGCATAGCCTAGAAAATGCAAAGCTACACTGTCATACTACCGGAAAATATGTTCTACAACAAACAGAGAAAATTGGTTTGATAGAGCCATTTACCGTCGATGGATGTATACTTATGTAGGAGGAAGAATTCTGCGGGTCGCTCAGCTTCCTGGTGATTTGCCTAAAAAGTGACGATTCTCCACGGTGGATGAGCTAATCAAGGAATAGATCTAAAATGAGCTTCATGTACAAAGCTGACTCCTACTTAAAAGTTTTTTTTAGGGAAGAACAACAATCTCGAAAAGTAAAAGCAAAATCTGATAAGATTTAGATTGTACCTTCATTATTTCAGGATCATTCCAGGGTCCTTTGTTAGAACGAAGACACCCTCTTCCATCACCAAAGCAAGAGCATGAACCTCCAAGGAATTCTGGCAATTGACTAAAGCACAGAGCACCAGAGCTGGTAAGTATTGGCTAGACATGATATCCTAAATTTTTTCAGTTGTTGTTCAAAATGGAAAGAAAGCTACCTTGAATCAATGACTTCATGCAACTTAGATAAAGATTTGGGTTCTAGCACCTGCATTGACAGTGATAAGATGAACTACACAGAGCAATAGTTGACCAAATAAAAAAAACAAGGCTGAAAAGCTGTACATGTATTTTTGCAATGGTCTTTGCATCAAGAAACTTTTGAGCAGCAGGCCAAAGCATCTTTTTGAAACCGGTTCCAGCATTTACTATGTACATTCTATGCAACGTCTGCAAAATAATAAAATGACTTCAATCAACCGGGAATGCATGTGAAGAAGATATGAAATCCAAAATTCAAAATTCAAAAACTCAAGTACCTCAGGATAGTAGCTATTGTCAATCTTTGACATGGCTGCCACAAGATTTGCAGCTGTTGGTGTAAAGTTCTTAATTCCCTGTCATTAACATGACACTGCAAAGATGAGAATCTAGAAGCACTTAGAGGGAAAAATCTACTTTAAAGCATAACAAAATGCAGGAATCTCTTGGTAAGAACTTAAATAACTACCAATCCTTGCACATCTAGTATTGTAGTCGTGGAACAGATTCGACGCTTTGCGGCAATTGAGCATGCAGGGAATTTCTCCAGGAGAGCTCTCTCAAACTCCTGCACATGGTACTTTAAATATCTATCTATGGTGGTGATCCGCATAAGCTTAGCGGGATGAGCTTTTCCAAGTCTTTCAATGTAGACAGGTCTTCCTTCCTTGTCAACTCCATGATAGCCTTGAGGATAGTATTGCAAAACTTCTTCAAGCTCTTCGAAATCAAAGTCCTAACATCCACATAAAAGAATAAAAATTATAGGAGCTTGGTACTGAATCCATCAACTAATTAAGAAGATGAATATAGATGTGTGCATCCAAATATCAAGCATATTAATATACTACGTTTTTATAAGTTTTCAGCCATTGTATTTTGGTTTTAAACTAGCTGTGTACCAGAAGTTACTTAGTTTTTATAGGACACAACAAACAAGCTGAACTTGAACCATTAACACCGTACCTCTAGTATGGTATCTGTCCCATACTCTAATCTCCATCGCAGCATTTCTTCCCACATCTGGATGGTTTTGTCAATGTTAAGATCCCTAGCTTTCAAAAACCTACATTTTCAAAACGAATAGTTGGTTAGCTTGACTGTATTAGCAACACATCATGTTTTTAGCTAAAGCGACCAGAGTGTGTATGTAGCTACTAAAGAACAAACGAACCTCAGAAGAGTATGGTACTCATCATGTCTAGGAGGCAACAAATCTCTCTCGAGAAGCTTACGGCGAAATTCGAGCACAACGCTCTCCTCTTTTTCATCCCTTACATCTTCAATGGAGACAGCAGGAATCCGATAATCGATTTTCCTTTTGCCCCTCTTCTTCAAAGAATGAGTGAACTTGGTTGAAGCATTAATGGCCTTCTTCTTCAAATTCCCTATTTTTGAGCGCCGTCTCTCATCTTCAGAGACTTCAAAGTCTGATCTTCTCTCCCTAAATTCGTCAAAGGTGCTGATTTCTTCAATACCTTCAATAGGAAAAATCCAAGTAAGTATCTGCAAAGACTCAATATCTAACTGTCTCAGATTCAAGATTGGTCCCCATGGCATTCAAGAAGTGTCCTCGTTTCATCCACAGGGAACCCAAAAACAGAAACTTGAGACCAGCCAAAACGTGAAACAACAAAATTTACCAGACATATCCATTCAAAGGGAAAGCTTCTTGATGCTGAACAGATTCAAAGGACATGCATGTGAGTCATACAACCATCACTTGTGGGAGACAAAGCGAACCTGGAGACACAGAATACAAAACTGTCAAAAGCAAATTTAAAATCAAGAATCATCACATCTTTCTTGGGTTTCTAATCAAAAGCATAGAGAAGCCAATAAATCTTGCTGTGACTGCATTAAATAAATATCTCATTTTACACGGCCATAAAACTTGCAAAGGTGAGATTCCCCGTGAACATAAGAGCTAAAGCAGTATCACAATCACAAACCAAACCCACAAGATATTTGCCTCTCTCAGCCATTACCACAAAAACAAGAGTAGCAGAGGATTAAAGAGCAAATCAAAAAACCTTTTTGGTTCTTCTCGATAAATCAACCCAGTAAAAGTTCCAGATCTGCAACTAAAGTGGGGATGAAGAATCTATTCACACGATTCCTCAGCATTAAAGACTTAACTACACTGAGGTCTTGTCTTCTGTCCTAAACCAAACAAAAAAAGAAAAGGGCATTAGTTTTTAGCTAGCCATAAATGCAATCTAAAAACTTTAAATGAGACAGAAACAGAGAAACCGTTAAAAAGAAGAAGAAGAAGATGAAACAGTAGTATTAGTCGTGTCTGTATCCACGCACGCTCAGTGATTCGAAAGAAACGTAAGAAATCGTAGCAATGCCGATTGAAGAAACAATACGGATCTAAAACCCACCGACAAAAAAAAAGATACTAACAGAAATGAAAACAAGACTCGGGGAAAAAAACTCTGTTATTACCTAAATGTGACGACGATGATCTCTCCGATATGCTCCAACGAAAGAAAAAAAATAATGATCGGAAATCCAAATTCCAGGAAGATAGAGAGATTCTCAAAGACACGAAATATTTCCAGAGAAAAGTAAAAGTAACAAAAAGGGTTCTCTCCACGATTACACGAGGTTGCAGAAAAAAAAAAAAGAAGAGGAGATGCGAAGGAAGAGAGAGAGAGGAAAGATCTGAAATTTCTCGCGTGTTGTTGTTCTTCTTTCTTTCTTTCTTTCTTCTTCTACTTCTTTCTTTACTCTTTTTGAGTTTTCTCGCTACTACTTTAATAAATTACTCTCTATTTTATTTAATTTTTAAAAAGAAAAAGGAGAAAATTTTGTAGGTTTGGTAATATACACATAGTGTGTAGTAGTAGTGTTGGGTTCAATGGTCCCCTATCAGTAAAAAAAAAAGAGGAAAACAAATGGCAATGACTGAAAGAAAGAGAGAAAAGAGTTTCTTGCAGAAGTGAGCTTTTTGGTTTGAGCCTTTGGTCTGTCTCTCTATATTTGCATGCGTGTCCTTTTCTCCCTCTTCCTTCTCTTCTCTTCCCCCATGACTATTTAATTATTGTGTCACACACAGTCACACACACACACAAAAAGAAGAATCATATTTATTTTTCTGGAATTTGTAACCCCAAACTGTTTAGATGTGTAAATTCATAACATATAGTTAATATTTTGTATTAAAACAAAAAAAATAACATGTAGATGAAAAGTTGGACCACAACAAACAATCACAAAAAAATGCGATTCAAAATCCGACCTTTAAGATAGTGGTTTGTTCAAGTTTATGATTTTTTTTTAGTTTATTAACCTCATTTTAAATTAGTAGTTATCTTGGATTGATTATTTTCTAATCCATTTACTAGTTTTTTTTTTTTAGATTGACTAGTTGCGGAACTAGCTTTATTTTTGTTTTTTTTTGGAGCAAGAGTTGTGGAACTAGCTTAGAGCAAGGGCAACGGCGTACCCACGGCCGTCCTACACACAAAAAAAAAAAGAAAAAATGAAAAAAAAAACAAAACCGAAGGACGCACGCATATATGCGACGGTCCCGTTTGTTTTTGCCTCTTTTTCGCGGGCCCCACGACACGTGGCGGCCCGCGATTGGTTTTGCTTTTTTTTTTTTTTTTTTTTTAAAACAAAGCTAAAAGTAAAAAAAAAAAAAAAAAAAAAAAAATTGATGTAGGACGTAAAACCGATGCCCTTGCTCTTAGTTGTTAAAGTAAGAGTGTTCATAATAGTACAGTTGTACTTGGAGAGGAGTATCCAACACTTTTAATTTGGTCACCTTTTGGAGAGTATCCAACATTTACTATCCTTTTTTCCATCTTATTTGTTTTGACGATTTATCTAATTTTATAATATATTATTACTTTTTTTTGCCGTCATATTATTATTAATCAGATGAATTGTAGTAATAGATAAAAATGACATTTAATAAAAAATGTTGACAGAAAAAAAGAAGAAATTTAACAAAGATGAAAAAAAGAGGCTGAATAAGTAAGTATGTAATTTGGTCAATAATTTGTAAATTGTAACGTATACGAAATGACAATTAGTAAAGTTTCCGTAACGTTTTCTTTGTTGTTTTTAATAGAAGAAAAAAAAAAGGGGTGGTGGTGGGTAATTAAAATTGGAGTAAGTTGACTTTTTTCCGTTATGGATATTATGGGGACACGTGTCAAGATTCCTCAGCTTGGTTAATTAAATGCATTTTGCATGGCATCAGTGTGTTGTTGTTTTAGATTTCATACTAGGATTCTTTTGATTTATTTCTTCAAGCTTAGTATTAAATGTAATTCTATAAACATTCTCACTATTTTAATTATTAATGTGTTCTTCTCATTACAACATGGGAGTATAGTTAGTAGTAGTACCTCACAAATGTTTTATTTTTCTCCCAAAACTCCATATTGTTTTTCACTTTATCAATATGTAATTTTATATCAATATCTCTTTTTATATAAAAGAATTGTAATTTGTTTGTATATGAGAAGAAAAAAGAAAGAAAATTAGGGTCCATGGCAGCAATAAATGAGGAATGTCCCATCAAAAAAGAACAGTACGTTCAACCAAATAAATTGTACAGTTTTGAACTCAGTCGGCCAAGTATATATATACTTCCATATATTACATTATTACTACATCATTGTGAAATGATTTTTCACCTTTTCCTATAGTAGTTTTTACCGCACTAACAAAGAGCGAATAAAAAGAAAAACGAAACAAAAACACAGTCGTTTTTTGATTTGGAGTTTGCAGCAGTGTCCAAGGGAAAACGCATCATCAAGCCATCATTCGCCATTAATTCACCTTTGGGGTTGAGGAGGATTCTTCTCAAATTCAATAGCGTGCCGACAACATAAATTCGGAGAGAGAGAGAGAGAGAGAGAGAGTTAATGTAATAAATAAAACTATCATCATCATTTAATGCTCTCTGCTTAAAGAAACTCTCTCTCTCTCTCTCTCTC